CTGGGGCTTTGTCTGACATACTTTGGACATGTTGCCAGGAGGGACGGGTCCTTGGAGAGGGACATCATGCTTGGGAGGGTGGAGGGACAACGCAGGAGGGGAAGACCCTCCATGAGATGGATTGATTCGGTGACTGGGGTAATCGGGATGGGTGTGTCAGAGCCGGTGCGGTTGGCGCAGGGTTTAGGGCTGTTGTGCATAGGGTCGCTATGAGTCGGAAACGACTCGACGGCACATAACAACAACAATAGCCTAAAATACACACTACAACTCTCAATAGCCAGAATACATGTAAGGGGGAAACCTTCAGAGGAGGAAAACACAAATATTCTGCACTGAAAGGAGAGAGGCAACACTGTGTGGTTTGAAGACTGAAAACTTGTGATCTGGAAAAAAAGGCACTCTTACCTTCCGGCTCTGAGGCTTCACTGTATAAACAATAAAATGTGCTACTTTTATTAACCATTACCATAGATAAGAAAAAGTACATTTCCATCACTCAAAAGTTTCTCGTGTTTCTTCGCAAGAATCTCCAAACCCCATACCTCATCATCTATTAGAGATGTTCTGACATTACATTTTGCCTATTCTAGTATTTCAGATAACCACAGTCATACAGCAGTCATTTGTTTCTTGATCTTTTCACTGAATATTTTTGAGATTCATTTGCATTATTTTGTGTACCAACAGTCTATCCCATATTGTTGTTGCTGTGTATAGCTGAGTCGGAACCAACCCATAGCTGACCCCTTGCAGGTTTTCAAAAGCAGTAAATCACATGGGAGGAGACTGCCCATCTTTCTCCTAATGAGTAGATGATGGTTCTGAACCATGTGCCTTCGCTTTGCATAATTACTTACAATGAAGGCATCAGAGCTCCTTATCCCATTACACACACACACACACACACACACACACACACACACACACACATACATATATCTAATTATTAGGTGGCAAACACTGGACATTGGGTTGTTTCCAAGTTTGGGTTGTTATGAATAAAACGGCTATGAACATTTCAGTTCAAGACTTAGTTTTAACATGTATTTCCATTCTTCTTGAATAAATACCTAGGAGTGAGATTGTTGATGTTATAGTAACTGTCAAACTATTTTCCAAAATGATGCTATTCTTTTGTATTTCCATTAGCCGTGCACAGAAATTCTGACTGCCTCACATCCTCATCAATACTTGATATTTTCCTTGAATTGTAAGTACCAGCAGTTGATTTCTTTTCATTTCAGAGTATTATTCTAAGAGAAGAAATACCAAGACTTATTTAATAATTTGTCCACTAAAAGGTAATTATATAGTTTTCAGCTTAGAGTATTAGAAAGCTACTAAAACATTTACATACACAGTATATTCATTATCTTACAGTGACATAGAAGGAAATCCATTTTTAAAAGACTTAAACGTTCAATAAAAACAACATGTTAACACAGCCAACACATCACTGAGGAAAGATGTCTTAAATGCTGATAAAATTATGTGAGTGAAAGTTTAGAAGCTTCTCTGTGTGATGCACGTGCTCATTTTGCATGTGCAGGGCAGGGAGACAACAAATAACTGATGGTAGAGGAACTTCTCTATGGAGCTGTCATCTCCATTAAATTGACTCCCACACATGGCCCTCTCTGTATACAGCACAGAACAGCTCCACAAGTTTTTCTCAAGGCTGTGACCTTTTAGAAGCTGAATGTCAAGCTGATCAACCAAGGTGCTTCTACATGGGTTCAAACTATTCAACTTTTGTCTAGGAGACAAGGCTTAGCCATTTATACCATCCAGGGACTCCATAAGAACCTTTTCAGAAAAGGTACAGATCTTAAACTAAACACTGTAGTTTTTCCATTAGGTGATTCTTTTATTTTACATTTTTTATTGTAAAGAGATTAAATTCTAACTTACAGAGTCAATGCCTGTAAATGTTTGCTAACTATAGCAGAACCATTTAAAGAAAATTAATTCAGTACTCTAAGACATTTTAAAAAAATTCTAGAATGACAATTTCTTTACTGATTCTCAAAGTCCATCATAACTTTATTTTAGGAGAAACTTTCAATCTAGTTCTTAAAATTTACAGGGAACAAGAGAAGTAAAATAGCATTATCCAATCATAATTAGAGATTACAAATTTCACTGTTAATTTTTAGGAGACTTGTATGTAAGTTCCGTGATATGCTAAAAGGTAACACCTTAAAAAAAGTGACTTCTCCAAGATACTGTAAGAAAGAACAGTATCCATCCATGCAATCCTTACCAATAACAGCTGGGGGCTGAGACCAGCAGACTCTAGGGTGTGGCACATATCCTCGGTGGAGCTTTCCCCATACAAGCACTTCCAAAAAAAGAAATCGCCTAGTAAAAAGAAAAACAGAGCACATTAACCAAGAAGCCCCAACCACTTTGACTAAGAGTTTCCTTAGCATGAAATATAGAGTCGCAAAGGAATAAAAGTTTATGAGAGAAGCCACTGGTTCAGTCGGCTTGATTTACTAAAGCAGATGGTAAATCATCACATGTCCAGCACCCTCTCTTTAAAGTAGAACTAAAATATAATACAATTTGAATGAAAAAGCACATACATTTTCCAAATATTTTTAATGGCCCACAAAATACATACTAAATTCTTTGGTTAATTTCATTTCAAATGAAATAAAATCTCTGAGATATCATGTATTTCTAACAGGCTTCCTTTTATAAGAGAAATCAAAGAGTAATTTATTATTTTACCTACCTAAAGCTACATAGTCCTCCTCACTTATCTTCTTTATGTTGATCATATCATTCTCAGCTTCTAACTGCTCCAGAAATGTTTTCAAAGGCAATACACGATCCTTGTCATCAGAAAAACGGACAGTAGTCCTGGTCATCCCTTCCTTGTACTTCTCTAGTAAGGACTGGAGCTTTAGCAGTTCTTTTTCGTCAAGCCTTAGTAACGCAGCCAGGTCCTTAAAAATAAGGGGAAAAGAATTCTGAATAGACAACGTCTCTTCTTATGTTACTGAGCAGTAGCTAAACTGAAATGCAAGGTTGCTGTAGAGCAGTAAACTTTTTTCAAGGAAAGCAAACAAGAATTAGTAATGTGATACTATAATCTTCTCTGCTGGAAAATTTTTCTAAAAAATTATATTTCATGTGCAGAAGATTACTTGAAGAAGACAAATCCTAAAATATGATCTAACATAAAAATTATCACCGTAGTGTTGTTAATGTGCCATCAAGTCAGAACTGACTCATGGCTGACCCTTTGGTAGGTTTTCAGAGGCAGTAAATCCCAAGGAAGATTGCCCATCTTTCTCCTACGGAAGAGCTGGCAGACTCTGTGCCTCTGGGTTGACAGTGCAATTTCTTACCACTCGGCCACCAGAGCTCTCTCTAGTACCAGCAGCATGGTTTAAATAAATGTTAAGCAATGTGTAATATAGTCTACTAGGAGAAAACTAACAAGTGTCAATTAAAATTTGGTGATTCTGAAGAAACTAATGAACTATTTGAAATGAAATGTGTATTTATTACAGAGCATAACAACTACAAAATAAAAACAACAAATGAGCCTCATCTTATCTTTATACATAAACATTCTCAATATGGCTTGCAGGAATACAGAAGAGGTAAAAAAGTAACAAACAGAAATTGTTAGCTTTCAGACTGCAGAAATAGCTCTAAATAGTATTCCCATAATTCTCCCAAACAAGAAACATGTGCATCTATACCACAGATAAGCACACACACATTCTTGAATTTTTCACAGCAAGCATGATGATTTTTTTCACGTGTACAAAATTAATTTTGTTTACTTTCAAAAACAAATAGTGAACAATGGAATACTACTAAACATGTCATAAGTTGAATAATTAAGTTGTCCTTTGATATCCACAGAGAATTGGTTCGAGGACCCCAACTGCACTCCACACCACAGTCAAGTCTGTTAAATAAAACTGGGTAGTAGTACTGGGCACGTGGCCAGGAGGGGCCAGTCCTTGCAGAATAATGTCAGGCTTGGAAGGGTGGAGGGACAGCACAGGAGAGGAAGATCCCAGATGAGATGGACTGACACAGTAGTTGGTCAATGGGGTAGGTGTGTCAGACAGTGAGACTGGCTCAAGATATGACAAGGTTCAGAACTATTGTATATAAGGTAACTGAGTTGCTGAAGGCTCGATGGCACATAACAACAACAAATTGCATATAACCTACACAATTTCCCCCCTTTTACTTTAACATATGAAATTACTTCAAATACTCAGCATTATAAATTCTACTTAAATAAAACTTTAAAAGTTCCTTTGATGTTTGACGAACTACTTGGACCATTTAACTACTACTCCAAGACCCCAGTATTTTTTGATCCATGGCTGGTTGAATTCACTGATCCAGAAGCCATGGATGTGGAGAGTCAACTCTATTTAATTGGTATGTACTATGTTGAATAGATTGCAAAAATTAATGAATTGAGATTTGACTTTAAATTCTGTATGTATAAAATGATCCCATTCAACCTAGAAAATGACTTCATAATTTTTGAAGGATACTCCAATAATGCCCAAAAATAAAACACGGTTTCAATTTTTTAAAAAGCTTTAAAAAGAAATAAAAAAGATGAATTGTCAACTTATTATTAAAATTCTGTAGTTCTCCTTTTACCTTTATATTTTATATGTAACAGTATCAAATAAAAATTAATTTTATAGAGCATTACTTTGAAAGAAGGGGTCTCCGGTGGGCTAGTGGCAAGGCATTCCCCTGTCAACCTAAAAGTATGTGGTTCAAGTCTACCTGCTGCTCTGTGGAAGAAAGATGGGCAGTCTTCTCCCATGTAATTTACTGCCCCTGGAAATCCACTGGAGGATCAGCTATGAGTCAGTTCTTACTTGACAGCATATAACAACAATGAATTTGGTAGAATTATTTTTGTGTTATACAGATGACACAAGTAAGTTTGCAGAAAGTGAAGAGAACTTGGAAGTACTTGCTGCAGAGAATCAAAGACCATCACCTTTAACATGGATCTCATTATCAAAAAACCAAAATTCCTCACCACTGGATCAATAGGTAACATCATATACATGGAGAAAACCCTGAAGTTGTCAACAACTTCATTTTACTTGGATCCACATGCAACACTATGGTAAAAGCAGAGAAATTAAAAAAAAATATGCACTGCACTGGGAAAATATGCTGTCAAGGATCTCTCCAGCGTGCTAGAGAGCAAGAATGTCAGTTTAAAGGTCAAGGTGTGCATGATCTTGGTCCACTGTCTGTTCAATTACTTCCTATGCCTCTGAAAGTTGGGACAGTGAATAAGAGTGACAGAAGAATTATTGGTGCGTCTGAGTTGTGGCGCTGGACAAGAGTACTGAATATCCCACAGACTGACAAAAGAACCAACAAGTCTGTCCTGAAGGAAGTCCAACAATGCACCATCCTTAGATGCAAAGATGGGGAAGTTTTTGCTCATGTTCTTTGGCATGCTGCCAGGAAAGGACAATTGCTGGAAAAAGGCATCATGCTGGGGAAGGTCAGAGAAAGAGTACAACCCTCAACATGATGGACTGAACTGCGATTTTAACAATGGGCTTGAGCACAGTAGAGCTCATGAGGATGGAGCAGGATAGGGCAAGGTTCAGATCTGCTGTTCACAGCATTGCTATGAGTTGTAGCAGCCTTGGCAACATCTAACAACACCATCACTTTAGCAGACAGCAGGAAAGAGAATCTGGATCTTATGAGAAAATCAGGCATTAAACAATCTATGAAATGTCTAAGACATACTATAAACATTTATCAATGCAAGCTTTCCTGTTGCTTAGGACTATTTTATCCCATTGCTGAAAGCAGAAAAGCAAAAGATCCTGAGAAGTGGCTTTGTTATTTTTAATGGTAATCATAGACTGCATCATTATGAATAGATTAGTTTTGACACAGTATGTAAAATCCATCTATAATCCTATACCCACACACACTAGCTACAATGTGTGAACTATTTCCACTACAGAGAGAAACATTTTCTCTTTCAGTTAAAAAAAATTTTTTTATTTGAGGATGTGTGTTTTAAAAAAAGACTTCTAACTTAAATTTCTAGTAACTTTTAATTATTCTAAGCATTTGGGGGCAGGGAGAAGCATTATCAGTGGCTTTACAAATGACTAAATGAATTTTAGTAGTCATGCTCCTTTGGATAAATAGATTTACACAGTATTCTGAGTGAAGAGTAGGACAATGCTTCTATTTTTCTCCCTCAGAAACTTTTTTTCTCTGAATAGGAAGAAATCTTCTTGTAAACAACCCTACAATATAATAAAAAATACAAGGTGCTGTCACCTCATGTTTTGTAGGTTAAAAATAGAACACTGATGTGAATTATTAGCTGTAACTATTATAAGTTTGACAGAAGTAAATTTTTTCCCCTATAATTATATTTTATTAATTTTCATAAACATTTACAGAGATTTTGGGTTTCCATTCATTCATTGTTGCACTAAGAAGTAAGTATTTTTAAAAAATAGATTTCAACATATAGTAGACAACAAACAAGCTATAAGAACCCTGGCAACAACAAAGAAACACTAACTTTTGTTTTAAGAATATTTTTTCCTTTAAAAGAAACAAGTTCTTCCATTTCAGTAAACTAAATATATTTTATCATTTGCATACTTTGTCCAGAAGAAGTTTTATTTATAAAAAATAACCTTAAGCAATTAATTGCGAAAAGACTAAATGCTACGGTAGGAAAATTAAACTAGCATAAAATTTAGTTCTGTGGCATAAATATAAATGTAGCACACCAAGGAAAAAGGTATACATCTTTAATATTGAAAAACAATTTTAAGTCTTCTGATCTTATTAACAATTTTTTAAAAAAGGACACCAACTAGGTTATGTGGTATAGTAATGCAAAATAGTAACCTGAGCTTACTCACACTGTCAGAGAATGGTGTATCTGAATGAAAGTCAAGGGAATTTAATTTAGTGACAGACTCATATAGATGAAGCAATTTCAGTTTACTGGCACAAAACTGTAGCAATCCTTCATCAACCAACTCCAGCTCTAAAAAAGTAGAAAGAAAGACACATTAAAGAGACATAAAAATAGTTTCCCTTTCATTAAACCTCTTAATATTATTCTACTGTTCTGTTCTGTTAAATATGCAACTCAACTCATTTCCAATGAGTCAGAACCAACTCATAGCTGAACCTCTGGCAGATTTTTAGAGGCTGCAATTTACACAGGAGGAGACTGCTCATCTCTCTTCCTCAAGAGCATCTAGCAGGTTTGAATCAACTGCCTGTGAGTTGGTAGCATAATTCCTTATCACGAATTTGGGGTTACCAGACACACCTTATAAAATATGAGGATATTTAAACTAGGAGAGATTATGAAAGTTAATTTTCTAATAATGGCAAATGTCTAACTTTTTAAATAAAAATAAAGGGCAGAGGAAAATAGAAATATCAGAAGTATTATCAAGAAAGGTTAGCAAAGGAAACAAAAAAACCTGGGTACTAATAACAGTGATCACTGATCAATGTGATGAATAACAGTGATCACTGATCAATGTGATGAATGAACTGAACTGTACATGTAAGCATAATGAAATGACAAATGTTTTGCTAAATATGTACTTATCACAATTTTGAAAATGGCTTTTAAAAAAGTTGACAAAGAGATAAAAAATAGAATTCGATTTAGGATCCACTTCAGCTAGGCTTTACACTGCGACAGGATTAATGCTGGAGAAACAATCACTTTGTATGTGACGTACTTGAAATATTCCTAAAAAGTTGAGTGGATTCAGTTTCATCTGTTGGGAACGTCAACAATGGAAGAAGAGTCTCAATGTTAGGATCTTTAAAATCCTCAAAGGATACATTATTATTACTACTTTAAAGGACAGCATAAGAATAACTAAATACAAAGTTAGCTTTATGGTGTATGGCATATGACATGCTCATAGGACAAGCAGAAACTGAAGTATTAAGTCTGGATGAAAGTCAGTATATCCTACAAATAAAATGATGTTAACTCAGAATAAGTTGTGTTTTCCTATACTAGTCTATTTGATGGGATATGGAATCACAACTTCAAAGTTTCAGATATCATTTCTGTATAGACAAATATATTCTAAGCATTAAAAAGAAAATTAGAAGTCCTAACTATTATCTCCAGAGACTGTGTATTATGTGTTGCACTGCGAATCCAAAGGCCAGCTGCTCAGCAGGAGAAAGATGAGCAGTCTCCTCCTGGAAAGATTTACAGCCTCGGAAACCTGTAGACAGTCACTGTGAGTCACAGCCTACTTGATGGCAGTGAACTGGGAGCTCCTCTCATGAGACAGAATGTAAGAGAGAATTTGGATATCACAGGACATTCTTTGTACTAAAACATTATTAATTCAAAGCATAAATATTTTTGGTCATCATCACAGGCAAAACTACAATGCTGAAAAGAAATCCTATCAATAAAAAATAGCTTTCTTCCACAAAAATTAAAGCAGTGGCGTTCTCTATAGATCTTCTGCTACTCTGGCTCTCTTGCTAGTAACTTTCACAGTATGATATAGTTCAGTTACCTGTATCAGAATAACCAATTCTTATTAGTCTATAGTGATTAACTTTTCTCACAGGAGAAAGCTTATAAAATAATAAGATTATAAAAATGAATAAACTGAAGATCAACTGTAAACATTAAACAGTAGAGGAAGAAGATCCCAGAGTAAAATACTGAAGATGAGAAAGAAGTTTCCTTATTTCTTTTCTTTAATTGTTTTTATTATTTTATTATTGTGTGTGTGTGTGTGTGTACCATCAAATCAGATCCGACTGATACAAGAGAGGAGATTGTCCCTCCTTCCCCGGCAGAGCATCTGGTGGATTCAAACCATGCACCTCTGGGATTGCAGTGCAGCTTCTTGCCACTAGGCCACCAGAGCTCCCCTTATTTCTTATAATTTTTCCCATATCAAAGATCTGGTGGCCTAGTGGTAAGAAACTGCACTGCAATCCCCAAGGCACGTGACTAGAATCCACCAGTTGATCTGCAATAGAAAGGGCAATCTCCTTCCTTGTGCTTTACTGCCCCTGAAAATCCTCTGGAGGGTCAGCTATGGATTGGTTCCAACTTGATGGCACACCATCACAACAAAAACAAAGTAAAATGATGAGATAATAGCCTCCCACAACCTGAGTCGGAAAAGGGGAAGTGGGACCATAACTTCTAATCAATATAAATCCAATTACCTTGCTTCTGTAAAGTGTCCATTAAAGTCTGAGTGATGTTTCTAAGGCAGGAAAATGACAAACGCTCACTTGCCAAAATGCTTTCTAATGCCTAGAAGAAAGATATTGAACAATTTCAACAATTTTAAGACAGTGCTTTGATATTTTAAAAAAATTTGGTATTTATGCCTATATCACCATTTCAAAGGGAAGTTCCACTTAAGCTACAAGTATCTTTTAAGATTTTTGATATACACATCTGAGAATTAATGACAAAATTTGTAGACTGAGAACAAAAGATCTAAAATGCAACACATGCTTTATTAGAAGGGCCATGGTAAAAAACGAGAGAAAACAATCAACCAATTAGAAGAGTCTGAATATGGTACACTATGCAGATATAAATGGGGTTGGGAAGATAGGGAGGAAATCACAATCATAATTTGTTATGTGCTATTTGAGAACTTCTTGTAAGGCATCACTGAGCGGGTTCTGACTCAAAGGAACCATATGTATAACGGAATGAACCACCACCTGATCCTGCACCACTCTCTCAAATGCTGCTACACTTGAGGTCATGGCTAAAGTCACTGTTTTAATCCATCTTGTTGAGAGTCTTTTTTTGCTGACCCTCCTCTTTCCCAAGCATGATGCTCTTCTCTTGTGACTGATCTTTCCTAATAACATGTCCAAAGTATGTGAGACAGAGTCATGCCATCTTTGCTTCATGGGCATATTCACGGACCGACGTTTTCCAAGACAGTTATGCTAGTTCATAAGGTAGTCCACGGAATATTCAGTATTCTTTATCAGTATCATCATTTAAAAAGACATCTGTGCTTCTTCAGTCTTCCTTTATTCATTATCCAGCTTGTGTATGTTTAAGACAGGAACCCGTTAAGTCACTTTGTTTTTTGAATCTTGAAAGAATTTCTTTGCAGTAGATCTGCTCATTGTAATAAGTAACTTGATTTTTTGACTGCTGTTGCCAAGGGCAGTGACGGTGGATCTAAGATAAAATGAAATCCTTGACAACTTTAAACTTCTCTCCATTTATTATGATGCTATCTATTGGTCTAGTTGTGAGGATATTTGTTTTCTTTACTCTTATCTTCAACAGTATTTCAAGTCCTCTTCACTTTTAGCAAGCAATGGTGAGTCATCTGTATCTCAGGCTGGAAATTTTCCTCTAATCCTAATGAAATTTTTCCTATTTCATAGCTTCTTGAGTTATCTGTTCAGCATACTGAATGTTGTTGTTGTTATGTATTGTCAGGTCGGAACCAACACACAGCTGTACCTCCAGCATGATTTCAGAGTCAGTAAATCGCCTGGGAGGAGTTGTCCATCTTTCTCCCATGAAGTAGCTAGTGGATATGAACCACTTACTTTTGCACTGGCAACACAGTTCCTTCCCACTAAGCCACCAGAGCTCCCAGCTGACTGAATAAGTATAATGAAAGGCTGTAACCCGGGCATACATCTTTCCTAGTTTTAAACCACACAGTATTCCCTTGTTCAGTTAAGTGTTCTGAAATTACCATGCTTCACAAATTCACATGATCCACACAGGCAAATATCTTTGCATAGTCAATAAAACACAAGTACTCTGCCCTCAAGCGAAGATCCATCTAGCATTAGCAATAATATCCTTTGCTACATGTCTTCTTCTGAACTCGGCTTGAATTTCTGGCAGTACTACGGCAACAATTTCTTAAGCTTTCTTCAACAAAATACCACTTGCATGGGAGGAGCTGCCCATCCTTTTGGCATAGAGCAGCTGGAGGATTTGAATTGCATGCATTCTGGATTGCAGCGCAGGTTCTTACCACTAGGCCACCTTATACCATATCTATCATACCACCTGAATTTCAGAATCATCTCAGGAACAGGTTTGCGGACTTGAACACTAATGAGCGAAGACCAGATGAGTTGTGGGAGGATGTCAAAGGTATCATCCAGGAAGAGTGCAAACGGTCATTACAAAGACAGA